ACTGCAGGGACCCTGTGGATCACCCTGTCTAAATACAATTTTAAACAAAAAATTATAAAAGCATTAAACACATATTCTGAATCAAGGAAGAAAGGGAAGGATTTTAGAGACATGCATGCTATCACAGAATTTGAACAAGTCAGATTAATAGGAAAAATATATGCTGGTTCCTGTGTAAATTCTTATTCAAGTGATCTTTAGAGGAAGACACTGTGCTGGGGACCAGCTATTTACTATGAAAGATAATTTAAGCAAGCAGAAGTAATTTGTGTTTATTGAAAGAAATTAAGAGTATGCATTCATGTTTTGCTAATTTGCACCAATAACATTTACTTTATTGATATTTTACTGAAACTTTACAGAAATGCCAAATGAGAATCAGGGAGAAGTAGGAAAAGAGATGTTTAATATGAAATAAATTAGAGATCTCAGCTGATGTAATACTCTGTTGAATAGCTAGAATTTTGGATGAATGACAATTTGATCTGTTTGTCTGTCTTTGCACTGGAATGTAACATTTACGTTGCCACTTAGAAGTGTCAGAAATTGGAATGCACATCATAAGAGAATAAAATGTAAACTTTAATCTATGCATACATGCAAAGAATAAACCAAAGCAACAAACACAAAACTAAATTGCATTTTTTTTTGACTGAAAAAGCAGGCAAATGGTTAGTCTCTCTCAATTAATTGCTAACATACTTTTCTTTTACATTCTCACATAAAACTGGCAATGTAAAAGGAAACGCAAAAGATGAGCAAGAAATAATCGTGTTCACCATCTACAGGCTACTTTCTTTTAGATAATGCTAAGTACAAACTGTTGACCCAAAGGGGAAGAGAGGCATTTTAGATATTTCTGGGTCACATGATAATTTGACATGCCTCCAATTCTCATCTTCCCTCCAGCTAAAGCATTAAACATGTCACAATGGGCTCCTTTAAGTTCAGGATTAGCATATGCAAGAAGGGCAATTTGTTCAATGGTGTGTTAATGCCATGAACAATGCTGAATGAAGGGCTGGGGGAGGGGGAGGGGGAAGAGGAAGGAGGGGCCTCTTTTCACAAAGGCCTGACAAGCCTCTTTTCTAAAAGTCATCTCTACAAGAAACATCATGCCAATACACTTTTCAAAACCATACAAAAATCTGCCACCAGACTACTTCAAAGAACACATCTATGCATATTCAAAATCATTTATGCCGGGGAGGGGTGGGGGGTGTCAATACCGATTACCTATACCACATCTCAACCACAAAGAGATGGGAAACACACACATGTGCATGACAAGCAAGAGTACACAAAAGCAATCCATCCTGCACTTTAAACACTTTTAAAGATTCCAACATCTTTTTTTATCGGGTTATTCAACCTCTACACACACTAGGAACCTTATGTAAAGAACCTAAAAGGACATAATGACATCAGATAAAAAGCAGCCCATAGTTGTATCATTACCACAGTGTTTTGTAGGTTTGCTGAACCCCAAAATATGAGGCTGAGGCTGAGGTCAGGGTTTTATTCTTTTTTAATCCTCTAACTGAATAAAATAAACTAGAAAAGCAACCAGGGAGAACTAGGGGACAATTCCACACATTTGAAATGAGAGTATTCTCACAATAACATTTTCTGTTCTGGCTTGGCATACTATCCATTCTTTTGTTGCTACGTACTCCCGATGCTTAGATCTCCACACCCAAAATGCCCAGCTGTCACTTCCTCTGGCTTCTTTGACCTCCTAGGTCAACCTCTGAGGCTTCCATGATGCGTTAGCTCATATGTATCTCTAATTGTGGAAAGAATTAAAATGATTCATTGCTGAGCCCAATTTGGGGGGCTATTTTCATCCACCCTTAGGTTTATACCATCTTTGCCTGATGAAGAGTTTTAATAGAACTCAAAATTTGCTTTGTTAAAACTTTTTAGAAATTCAGTAGAGGTATTTCTCGACCGTGCAACATACATCCCCCACTCTGGAGAATTCCTTGATTTTTTAATCCTCTTTGTCCCTGTACCTCCCAAAAAGAATGAATTGCTATTACAACTCCAAAGCAATTCAGATTTCAAAACTGCAAGACTTCAATACAAATCTGAAGAACTGTCTTGGAACCAGTTACCAACACAAACCTGAAAGATGTAAATACAGTTCTTTTAGAATTGTTAATTATTTACTTAATCCGTATCTTACTTTTCACCCAGAACTAGGATTCAATGATGCCTGTTAACTACCCTGTTAATGTCAAGTAAATGAAGACACAGCACTTCCATATGTCACTGGTTGGAAGGAGGGCCCCAGGGAGTGAACCCTAGGGAACAAAAACTTACTATTATATGGCCCATATCATTAGTTGTACAGTGGTGCCTCGCTTGATGATGTTAATCTGTTCCAGCGAAATCGCTGTAGAGTGAAATCATCGTCAACCGGGGGGGGGGGGAAACCCAATGAAACGCATTGAAAACTGCTCAATGCGTTCCAATGGGCTAAATACCTAATCGTCCAGCGAAGATCCTCCATAGGGCAGCCATTTTCCGGTGCCTGTTAAGCGGAAAATCCATCCTAATCACAGCGGGGAGCCATTTTGCACAGCAGGCAGCCATTTTGAAACCAAATGACCAGCTGTTTTTAAATCGTCGGAATGCACAGAATCGGTTCCTGAAACAGGGAACCAATCATCGCCAAACAAAAATCTCTGTTCAATACCGATTACCTATACCACATCTCAACCACAAAGAGATGGGAAACACACACATGTGCATGACAAGCAAGAGTACACGAAGCAAAAACCTCATCGTAAAGTGGATTCGTCTTTTAACGAGGTAATTGTTAAGCACCACTGTACAGTATATTGGAGAGGAGGAAGATGGAGCAAAAAATTATTAAAAACCTTCTGATAGATAAAAATAACAGGATAAAACTCTTGTGAATGTTAGATATCCTAGTTCAGCTCATGATGGGTAGGAAATCTGGAGGATGAAGGCCCAATTTGATACTTTAAAATCTCCCAAAGACAAGTTCTTTATAAGATGAAAGCACCAGATCCCAAAAAAGAGAGATTAGGGAGAAAAGTGGGATGTTGTTTCCACAGTTTGACCTCAGGAGAAATCTCCAGGTAAGGCTCCTTTTACCCAACATTCAATGCAAAAGCTATGTTGTTGTTTTTTCTGATCTTTGCAAGCTGACTCTCTCCTGCTATGAGAGTCTGAGCTCTTATTTTGCCTGTGATTTTTGCTGAGTCCAATCCAGACAATCTTTCCTTAAAAATCTCACATATTCTATATTAATTTTAAAAACATTACTCTTGCTGCTCCTTGAATTCAAGCTGAGAGTTAGTTATTAGGTAAGTCATTTCCCTCACCCCACTTCTGCTTCTAACTGGACATACAGCTACCACATTTTTGGTAAAATATTATTGGATTTCCAATTTGGTATTTAGGATCTGGTTGTAATTGAATTAAAGGGGCCCACAGTTATTTGGCTAATCACGGTTTGTGTATGTGTGGTTTGTGTTTGCTTGTTTGTTTTTGGAGAATGCTAAATGAATACTGAAGGCTCTAGCAGCATGCAGCTTAGTCTCGTTGTGTTTTATAGTCCTATCAGTGTCTATGGTTTCCAATCAACCAGTAGTCCAAACTAGAGGAGACCTACCAAATCAATTATAGAATGGTAACTAATGAAAAGAAAAAAAATACTATGAAAAGTGGCTGCAGCTGCAACTACTGAAAATCTGCTTAGGCACTTAAAAATTTCACAGCAAAATTGCTTGTGGGTTCCAAAAGAGACTTCTCCACAGTTTCCTCTCTTTTCCTGCTGTGGTTCTGTTGAAGCTGTTGAGGAAGCAAGGCCTAATGAAGAATAAGTCTGAAGTCCATATTCTCAATCTTTTGCTGGGAATAATTGGAGGACCAACTCAGTGCTTCCCTTCCTTCTCTGCCTCCTTATTTATACAAACTGAAGAAGTCAAAACTCGGTAGTTGAAATCCTCTGTGCAGCTCCACATGCACAACTATAATAACATCACCAGCAGTGACAAATCATCAGTGATCAAAAGCTTCCTTTGTCAAGTTGGGTGTACACCCCAAAACTGACAAATGAAGTCTTTAATCAATGGCTACCTGCCCCTTCTGATATCATTCCTGTTGCACATGCAGAGCTCCACAATAGCATTTCAGCCAATGTTTACTTTATTAAATATGGGTGCATAACAAGGTCCCTTACAAATAGTTTGACCTGCTTTGTAGCTGCATAGCTGAATCAAAAAGTCTGTTTGAAGAGAGGACATGCAAGTTCCAGCAAGTGACAATTTTGACATATTCATCGAAATCACTATGGTGCCCTATAATATGTTCTGCTTCAGCAGTACAATATTTTCATCCAACTCTGTACTTCAAATTAATTTGATTGCATGCCTGTCAAATTGTTATTGCCTTGGTAAAAGAAATAGCAAACTGGTCTGTTTTGTCTTAATTTCAGTAGACTAGACACTTTAATTGAGGATAATCCCACTTTCATGGTCAGAACCCAATTTACCAAGGATTAGGAACTTGAAGCCTATATTATGTATCCAGAGTGGCCTAAGTGATTAAATCA